CGTCTGCTGCGACCACGCTCTGAGACTCTTCTACTCTACACCCTAGTTGCATCTGTCTCTCTGCTCACTGTGACGCTCAATTTGCTCGTCATCATCTCCATCTCTCACTTCCGGCAGCTCCACACCCCGACCAACACTCTGCTCCAGTCTATGGCTGTGTGTGACTTGGGACTGGGGCTGGTGGTGATGCCTGTTGAAGGCCAGCAATACATTGAGTCATGCTGGCTGCTGGGGAGGATCATGTGTACTATGTCTCCTTATGTTCATTACTGTCTGTCTGCTAGTGCTTTGGGTCACATGGTGCTCATATCCATTGACCGTTATCTGACTATCTGTGACCCGCTGATCTACTCCTCTAAGGTCACTCTGACTAAAGTTAAAATCTGTATCTGTCTCTGTTGGACCTGTTCATTTACCTACAATGTGTTACTTCTAATGGACCACTTAGAGCAGCCGGACAGATTCAACTCCTGTCAAGGAGAGTGTGTGATGGTCATCAGCCAAATCGCAGGAACTATCGACTTATTTATAACCTTTATTGGGCCTTGTACTGTCATAGCTGTGCTGTATATCAGGGTTTTTGTGGCTGCTCTTCTCAGATGCGTGTAATTCATGCACAGGCTGCTGCTACCAAGGCCAGAGCAGCTCCGAATGCTAGGAAATCTCAGCCCAAGGCAGCCAGGACTTTGGGGATTCTGATAGTTGTGTTTGTGGTATGTTTCTGTCCATACTTCTATCCTGCACTAGCAGGTATAGACACCTCCACTAGCTTGTCCTATTATCCAATACTGAATTGGTTGTGGTTATTGAACTCTTGTTTGAACCCTCTGATTTATGCCATGTTCTACCCCTGGTTTAGAAAAGCTATCAAACTCATCATCACACTCAGAATACTGCAGGATAACTCCCGGGAGGTCAAGATCCTGTAGACAGGGCTGGAAGTATCAGTCAATGGTCATTTTTACACTGTTTTAGAAACACTGTGTCACCTCTGAGCAGACTGTTCTGCTGCAGCACCACACAGACCCTAGACAGTGGCCTCAGGCACAAAGATTCTCATTCTGTCAATCAGTCATGTTGTAAATGGTTTATTCTCATAAATACAAACCTCTGTGCTGAGTGAAGCACATTAACCTTGGCTGATGAGACTTTTCACTGCAAATGTTGTTGAATGAAACACTGCAGGTCACTTATTTCTTGTAGTAAAAATATTATTATTACACAAATATTAGTATAAATACAAATGTGTTCTTGTGATAAATAGGGTCATTTTTTAAAACTCTCATGTAGTTTTGTCTTGTCCACAGACTGTCAGAAGAACACAGAAATCATAAAATGAAAAAGCCTAATGCACACTTCATTATACAGTATATGACTGCATACAAAATGTATTTTAGAAAAATCTCGAAGAATATAAACGCAACAGGGCTCTCAGGGCTTTAGGAAGCATACAGCTGGTAAAACCTCAGGTCAGAACCTAACAGGGTGAAGATGCTTTTAGCTGCTATTCTGCACACAGATGGAACCAACTTCCCAATGAAATGTGCCCTAACTCTGCCACTTTGTCTTTGCCTATGCAAAGCCCTTTGAATGGCCTCTGTCAATGAAATATGCTATATAAATAAAGATGTGTTGTGTTGCCTTATCAATATTTTTCAAATAATACACACTTGATTTTGTTGGAGTAAAAAATGTATACAATCCAACTGAACTGACTAGTCAGCAGACGTCTTTTCTGTTCTGTTAAGTCTGTGTCACTGTTATTTAACATTTTGAATGTTCTTCATTTAAGATTCAATTTCTAGCAAAGTCTCAGTTTGATCTAAACACTTTATTAGAATATCTGAAAGCACTGCTGTGCTAAGTAAACCATGCCAAAGTTATATTCAACAAGTCTAAATATTCTGGCGTTGGGTTATTAAACCTGTGCCATGCTCCTTCACATGAACAGCTTGAATGCACTAGTGAAAGTCACCAGCAATCTCCTCCTAGCCTCAGACAACAGACTCCTCTCTATATTTGTCCTCTCCCCAGTGCTGCATTTGACACCACTGATCACAACAAATTGATAGTTTGACCTCTGGTCTTTTTGCTTTCATCCTGGGTCAACAAATCAGTCATCAACCTGTTTCCTAAGAGAAGAAGCTGATGCCATTGTCAAGAGTGCATCGGGCACGTTGTAGGTGAACAAATGGACGGCCGCCATCGTGGAGCGTTGCCTCACACAGCTGGTCAGACAGGGGAAGCCTTACAAGTACATTATGAAGTATGCTGTGATGCAGAAGACGGGAGCCTGCATCCACACAGCCAACTCCTGCTATTGGGACACTGCCATGGACGAAAGCTGCACTGTGAGATGGGAAAACCGCTCCATGTACTTTGTGGTCAATGTGTTCACGGTGGCTATTGCACAGGAAACGCACACATATAAATGTACATATAGTCCACCACTACCAGAAGAGGAGGAAGAGTAGTGCAGTGGATTTCTGTGAACAGCAGGGGTCCACCAAGTGCCACAGAGTCCACTTCCACGCAGCTGCTGGGAAGAAAATGGCTGGATTGTTTTCAGGTGTCATGAAACAACATTATCTTAAAGTGTGTATCTATTGTGTACTGTATTGTATCGCTCACTAATGCCTGACTTCATGCAGCAGCTGCAAACCACACATTTAATCAGATTCTTCTTCTACTGTTTATTAGGTGCATCAAGAGGATGTCTGTACTTGCAGCTGTTCGCTGCCAGAAAATAAACATGCATAGGTGTATAATCAAACTGCAGAGTTCAGTTGTTTCGTTGAAATGAATTAGGACAGATAACAGTTCTGCTTTTCTTTCTACAGCTGGCACTGTTGTCAATGTTTAATTTGAGCTTTGTACTCCTCAGTTTTAACTCTGTCTTGCAGTTCTATTTTGTATAGGCATCTAAGAGCTGTTGCTATTGGGTTTATCCCTTGTGCATGAGCAGTCCTGAAAAGATTTCTTTCACACCCTCTGCCCTGCACTGGGCCGTCCCCACTCTGGTGGCATAAATGCCAATGTAACCTGAGATCGTCTCCCTCTTTTTCTTCAGCGGTCTACAAGAGCGAATCCTGAAATGTCTAAAGACCAAAGAACATCGACCGCCGGACTCCAGCACTGCACTGCCATCACCATGTGCCAAGGCTGTAATACAGGCTTCATCATGCCCAGCGACCCACACCCCTGCTGCGAGGCCTGCCTCGGCACAGAACACGCTGAGCTGGCATTCTTCCCTCAGGCTGTTCACCCCTTCTGTGCTTGCTTTCCAGCAACAGACAAGCAGTGCTGGGCTGAAGCATTTGCAGCCATCAGAGAGTGATATCCTGAAGATCATAGCAGCTGGGCAAACCGTGGGGACGATCCCTTGGTAGATGACCCCCTGGAGTTCCTCGGCATAGGCAACGCAAATGGGCCCAAATCCGTTGACTTGTTTCCCTTCATTGCTGGCTCCTCCGGCTCTCCACTTGACCCATCGGTCGACGTGGATGCTGGCAGAGACAAGCTTCTTCTGGCTCAGCCTCTGGCCTTTGGGGCTCTGCTCCACAATCTGCCAGAGATCATCAGAATGGCAGCAGAACGCAAGGGCATTCCTCGCCCACCAGCTGCCCCCGCTCCTTCTCCATCAAACATGACGGGAGATTTCTACATTATGAAGCAGTGGAGAAAGCACCTCACTGTCTGGCCTGATTTTCACACCAGCAGTGACTTCACGAGCTTCTTTACAAATAAAATCACAACTATTAGAGAAAAAATTGGTCGAACCACTCCCACAGCTCTCATGGATGTGCAATCTGCTACAATGGCTTTAGAAACATCTGTAATACCTCATTTATACTTGGACTACTTCTCCCCTATAGATCTCTCTGAGATGACCTCAATAATTGCTTCATCTAAATCATCAACATGTCTCCTGGACCCCATCCTGACCAGGCTGCTCAAAGACGTCTTTCCCCTGATCAATACATCCATACTAGATCTGATTAACTTCTCTCTATTAACAGGCTTTTAAAGGTGCAGTAATTAAACCTCTACTCAAAAAGCCTACTCTTGACCCAGGTGTCCTAGCTAATTATAGACCAATATCCAATCTCCCGTTTATTTCTAAAATTCTGGAAAAAGCTGTTGCAAAGCAGTTATGTGACCACTTGCACAGGCATGATTTGTTTGAGGATTTTCAGTCAGGATTTAGAGTCCATCATAATACAGAAACCGCACTGGTGAAAGTCACCAACGATCTTCTCCTAGCCTCAGATAAAGGACTTGTCTCCATGCTTGTCCCCTTAGAGCTCAGTGCTACTTTTGACACCACTGATCACTGCATCTTACTGCAGTGATTTGAACATGTTATTGGGATTAAAGCACATGTGTCAAACTCAAGGCCCGCGGGCCGGATATCATTTTATATATCTTTTTTTTAATGGCCTGGTGATATGAAGCGCCGATAACACACGATACATTTGCAAACACCTGCTTTTTGTCTGGACACAAGACGTCGTACACTTTCATCATGCAGCTCTTCAGAAACTCTCCCTTAGTAAATGGCTGGGCTGATTTGGTTATCTCCTCTGCCGCAATAAAACCTGCTATCACGGCAGCTTCACTGGAGTTTTTCCTTCCCGCTATCACCAAATGCTTGATCAAGGGGGATTTGTTGGGTTTTTCATCTGTAACAACAATAATAATAATAAGGTCTAGTCTTTACTTTGTAAAGTATCCTGAGATGACTTTTGATGTGATTTGGTGCTACACAAATTAACTAAATTGAATTGAATTGAACTGAACATATATGAACTGACATTTTCATCCCAGAGGTGGCAGGAGATGATGTCTGATGGTCCTTGGTCTACAAGAAGAGGTACAGCTTGTCTGCCATGATGCTGGGCTGCAGGAAAGACATGATAAAGTTCAAGTTCAAAGTGTTTATTTGTCATATGCACAGTTAGGAAACATGTTTCCCTGTACAATGAAATTCTTACTTTGCCGTCCACATGAATGCCACAAAATACAAATGAAATATAAAGTAGATAAATAAGTAACACAAAATCTAAGGCACTTTAAGCAGCAAATGCAGCAATATAATAAAAAAAGAAGACGAATATAACAGAGAATGTATGCTGCATGGGAGCAGCATGTTTACTAATTTTTGTTCTGTTGCTAATTCTGGGGAAACTGCATAAATAGTGTATGCATTATTAAATGTTATAGAGAATATGTCTGTAAATGCTCACACACACACATAGTAACACATGTGTTCATTTGGAGGCCAATATTCATTCACCTTATCGCTCTGTTTTTGGTCTCTACCCACCACTGTCCCTTTAGTTGCCAAACTTGCTGTTTCTTGACACAGCTGCCAGGTCTGCCTCACTAACTTACATCCAATACTAATGCATGCTTGCCATCTCTGTATGTGTCTGTCTGATGTTTAGTGTTTTAGACAGGTGGATTTATCAGTTTTTAAAAGGAAAACAGATGTGCTGCTGCTGCTGCTGCTGGAGACAAGATGGGGAGATTCAACAGAAACACTAAACCAGAACAATGAGTCTCGAAGATACTAAAACATCACAAACAGTGCTTTTGTGTTATACATATTTCATCACGGTTTATGTAAAAATATTAAGAGGTTGAAAACCACATTGGTATCTGTAATAAAATTAAAAAAAAACATCACTTGTTTGGTCAGACAGTTTGCAGAAAGTTCTCTTTGAGTCTCTAACATAAGCATCTGCACTTAGCAACAACACATTTAGAAAGGAACTGTTGATTTTTTTTTCTGTTACTCTTTCTGAGGCAGTCTCAGCTTTGATTTATGACAACAAAATGTCAGAATTTTATCATTAAAATTTGATTCAGTATGTAAACATTTGCCAGTTAGTGAGTTAAAATGAAATGTTACCATGGCATTTGGTGCAGCTGTCTCGAAGCAGCCAGTGTTATTAGAGATGGCTACCTGCATGGATAACACAGGTCACCTTTTGCTGTGAGATGATGGATGTGGAAGTGGCATCAGCCCTCAGGTGACATGGGTGATGGACTCTTTCTTATTAAAGGGCTAATGGGAGAGAAAGTTGTGAAAAGGCATCAGTTGTTAGCCACTGCAACAAACAAGGTCACTGAGGTCACAAATTAACCAGCTTCTCTTTCATCTCCAGCTCCTTTATGTCTTTGCTTTTTATTCTTTACTTTGGTTTCTCTGTTCACTCGCTAAGCCTTCTGATTTTCTTCCATCCTTCAGGCCTGTACAAATATTAAAATCATTACAATATGGTATTAAATATTTTGCAGCATTTTACTTACCTATTTCAACATTTGTATTTTTGCTCATTTGAAACATAAACATACTGATTTACTATATTTTCATAACAGCTAAGATAATTGACAAAGATTTTAGGATTTAGCACATCTGCTGTTAAAATAATCACTTCAAATTCAGTAAAACATATTGGTGGTCACACCATGCGGCCACATATCGACATAAGGAACGATCAGTGCGTCACCTCAGCTGAATGAGGTCTCAAAGTGGGTGTAGAAGGTGTTGAGGTCATCCGGCAGGCTGTCTGTAGAGCTGATGATGCTGGTGGTGGTCCTGTAGTCTGTGATGTGCTGCAGGCCTTGCCACATCCGTCTGGAGTCAGCAGTAGAATAGAAGCCATTCAGCTTCTCTCTACTGCCTCTTGGCCGCTGTGATGGCTTTCATCAGTCTGTACTTTGCAGCTTTGTACTCCGTCTCATCGCCTGATCTGAATGCATTGGAGCGAGCATGTAGCATGTGGCGCACCTGACTGTTTATCCAGGGCTTCTGGTTGGGGAACCTCCTGACTTGTATGGTGGGCACAATGTTGTCGAAACAGAGAAAGGAGGGCTTTGCAGGATGAAGCCAGAAGGCCGCGGCACAGTCAGCACTGCTACCTCCTGAGAACAGAGGAGTTTGGACCTGATCTTTTTGCTGCTTCTCATCCAGTCTGGAGGTCTCAGGGTGTCTAAAGGTCAAAATCAGACACAAAACAAAATACACTAAAACAAGGCATAATTTATGAAGCAAAAGATTACTTCAAAGTCTAGACAAAAAATACTGTATCGAATCTTTTATGAAAATGATTCATCACTTAAAATTTAAAACAAATATGAATGATAATTAAAGTAAAATGCGCATGGGGCTGACAAGGTTAAGGACAAGATCAAGGGACACATGCTACATCATCTCTTAGGCTTGGGAGTGGGAGGGCGGTGTGAGAAGAAGATAAAATGAACTGTTCACCACCTCATCCCTGCTCCTCTCCTCCTTGATGGATGACACTTGGGGCTCTGAGTTCTGCTTCCCCAACCTCAACTCCTCCTGCAGACGTCTGCTGCGACCACGCTCTGAGACTCTTCTACTCTACACCCTAGTTGCATCTGTCTCTCTGCTCACTGTGACATTCAATTTGCTCGTCATCATCTCCATCTCTCACTTCAGGCAGCTCCACACCCCGACCAACACTCTGCTCCAGTCTATGGCTGTGTGTGACATGTGGATGGGGCTGTTGGTGATGCCTGTTGAAGGCATTCACTACATTGAGGCATGTTGGCTGCTGGGGAGGATAATGTGTGCTCTGTCTACTTATGTATGCTCTTGCTTGGCTTACGGCGCTTTGGGCCACATTGTGCTCATATCCATCGATCGTTATCTGATTATCTGTGACCCACTGATCTACTCCTCTAAGGTCACTCTGACTAAAGTTAAAATCTGTATCTGTCTTTGTTGGACCTTTTCAGTTACCTACAATGGGTTACTTCTAATGGACCACTTAGAGGAACCGGACAGATTCAACTCCTGCGATGGGGAGTGTGTGTTGGTCATCAACCAGATTGCAGGAACTGTTGACATGTTTATGACCTTTATTGGGCCTTGTACTGTCATAGCTGTGCTGTATATCAGAGTGTTTGTGGCTGCCCTTTTCCAGATGCGTGTAATTCAGTCACAGGCTGCTGCTACCAAGGCCAGGGCAGCTCCAACTGCTAGAAAATCACAGCCCAAGGCAGCCAGGACTCTGGGGATTGTGATAGCTGTGTTTGTGATGTGTTTCTTTCCATACTACTGTCCCATTCTTGCAGGTGTCGAGATCACCAGTGGCATGTCCTATTATCCCATATTGTTTTGGTTCGGGTTATTGAACTCTTGTTTCAACCCTCTGATTTATGCCATGTTCTACCCCTGGTTTAGAAAAGCTATCAAACTCATCATCACACTCAGAATACTGCAGGATAACTCCCGGGAGGTCAAGATCCTGTAGACAGGGCTGGAAGTATCAGTGAATGATCATTTTTACAATGTTTTAGAAACATTGTGTCACCTCTGAGCAGACTGTTCTGCTGCAGCACCACACAGACCCTTGACAGTGGCCTTAGGCACAGAGTTTTTCATTTTGTCAATCAGACATGTTGTAAACTGTTTATTCTCATAAATACAAACCTCAGTACTGAGTGAAACACATTAACTTGGGCTGATGAGACTTTTCACTGCAAATGTTGATATGTTGACCTTGAATGAAACACTGTGCATGGCATTTGTAGTTCATAGTAAAATATCTCTACACATAAATAGTAATATAAGTGTAAATATGTTCATGTGATAAATATGATAAATCTTTTTACAGTTACAGTTACGTCCCTGGTAGGCTAGTGGTTAAGGTGCAGCACTCTCACCACTGTAGCCCGGGTTCAAGTCAGGTTTGCATCAGGAAGGGCATCTGGCATAAAACACGTGCCAAATGTCAACATGTGATGATTTGCTGTGGTGACCCCTAAAATGGGAAAACCCGGAAGTGACTTTTTTTTTTTTTTAAACTAGTTCTCATGTAGTTTTGTCTTGTCCCCAGACTGTCAGATGGACCCAGAAATCATAACAAAGTGAAAAAGCTTAATGCACTTCATTATATACAGTATGACTGTATTTTTTTAAAAAATCAGACAACTATCTTGAAGAACACAAACTCAGCAGGGCTCTGAGATCTTTAGGAAGCAGTCAGTTGGTAAAACTTCAGGTCAGAAGCAAACAGGGTGAAGATGCTTTTTGCTGCTATGCTGCACACAGATGGAGCCAACTTCCCAATAAAATGTACCTTACCTCTGCCATTTTCAAGTCTCTTCTGAAAACTCTGCCAGTTTCCTGAAACAGTGATTCACTAGTTTCTGTGTTGCACTTTTCTTTCATCTGTTGCATTCAGGGCAACTTATAACCTATGACTCCACTGTAACTGCTAGATTCTCATGTTTCAGACCTTTGACTTTGATTGTATCTATTTTCATTTCATGTAATTTATCTCCTTTTAACAGTGTTTTACATTAATTTTGTCTTAAGTGATGTTAGTCAGTTTTAATGCCGTTACTGTTTATCTTTGCCTGTGCAAAGCTCATTGAATTGCCTCTGTGTGACATGTGTTATATAAATAAAGCTGCCTTACACCGGTTTGACTCATCAATACTTTTCACATACAATGATGGTAAAATGAAAATACATCCTCCTTCAATTCCATATTTTTAGTCAACAAGGGGAAAAACACTTGTGTAGACCTCCAGAGCTTCTATAAACAAGTAAAATAACCTCAGGTGACAACAAACAACACAACAGATTTCAGTATGTGGCTACTGTTTCCCAAAAGTAAACCAACATTAAGAAACCAGATGGGAAAATGAAAGTATTTCCTTCCTACTTCCACAATCTTTGAGAGAGTAATCAGCAGCCAGGAGTTACTATTCAAATGCACAGGATGAGTCAACCATTAAGAAGTGTGACTACCTCTATTAAAGAAGAACCTTTGGCAGTTTGGTATTCTGGAGCACTGAGGTGTGTGTCTACATCATGCCAAGAACAAAGGATATCAACCATCATCACTGCTACTTGGTCCAGGAAGGGCCAGGAGTGAGTGTCCCAACAAATTCAGTCCAAGGAAAAACCCAACAGCTACACACAGAAAGGCATCTAGAAACAGGTCCCTTCTCTTCAAAAAGAATATGGCAATGAAAATGGAGATCTCTGGTCGTTATGCATAATGCTGTGTTTGGCAAAAATCAAACACAACATATCACCATAAACAACGCAAATCCAAATGTAAAGCATGGTGGTGGAGGGCTGATGATCTGGGCTTGTTTTGCAGCCACAGGACCTGGAAAACCCCCTGTCATTAAGATGACAGTGAACTCTACTTTATACCACAATATTCTTCAGACAAATTTGATGCAATCTGTCAAGCAGCTTGAGCTGGGCCCAAACCGGGTTACATAAGAGGAGAGTGATCTCAAACAAACCAGCAAATTGGCATCTGATTGGCTAAAGCTGTGTGCAAACTAATGCCCTCAAACATCAATGAACTGAAGCAATGTTGTTGAGAGCAGTGGGCCAACATTTCTCCAAAACAATGTGAGAGACTCAACTCCTCCAGAAAACATTTGCTTTAAGATATTGTAGCTGAAGGTGATTCTATATGTTACTGAATGACAGGGTTTTATTTTCCCACAAGGTTTCTGAATCTTGATTTACTTTTTCCCAAAACTAACCACACGCTGGGGAGGATAATGTGTGCTCTGTCTACGTATGTATGTTCTTGTCTGGCTTACAGCGCTTTGGGCCACATTATACTCATATCCGTCGACCGTTATTTGATTATCTGTGACCCACTGATCTACTCCTCTAAGGTAACTCTGAGTAAAGTTAAAGGGCCCATGTCATTCTTTTCTTTGTTTATTGACTTATCTACAATGTTACAACAGTGAATATTCATCTTAGATGTGACCTAAAGCTCAAAAAATGAGGTGTACGTATGCTCTAGTATTTTTATGGAGAAGCAACTCAGTTCATACAAAACTTGCAAATGATTGTTCACAAGACTTTTTTCTAACAGAATAAAGTATTACATGATAGTCTAAGGATTTTCTTAAATGGTTATGCTCTCCAGGCAGTTGTGCATTCATGTGAGCTTGCCTGACATCCACCTGTGCCATTTTAAAGGCAGAATTTTTTAACTTTACCTGGGTTTGTGGATATATTTTACTTCCTCTTGTTGCAGTGTGACCAGGTAATGTGGAGAAAAATACAGGGCCTGAGGTTACTGCATGTCCCGGCATTTTCTTGTACAGGGATTAACTGTTTTACATGGCCAGGTCTAACCTACAAGCAACCAGCTAGTGAAGACCTTGGGGCAGTGAATGATTAGCTCATCAATGCTGCCTTCCCCAGGGAGCATGTTATGTTTGTTTTGACAGCTTGAGGCCAGTGTGTCTGCCACATGTGATGGGTTGCTGGTTAATAAGCGGATTAACGGTCCATCATGTTATTATCAGTGCTATACTACCTGCTGGAATTAATTTCACTACTTTGGGATTGTATGAGGTCATGTTGGCAAAGATGCAGTGACCACCAGTTGGATTTACTGACCTTGGAGTTACTTGAAAAAGAATGATGTTTCCACCACTTGTTGGGACTTAACGGATAAGTTTAAAAAAGACATTGAATGCCTGTTAATGTATTGTTTCTGTAATGTCAGAAAAAATTGTTGTAAGGCTGGAGAAGGATGAACTCCATGCTCAGATTACCTCGCAGAAGGACATACTGGACTGCTCCCTGCTTTGTTTTTGTGAAACATGGCTGGGAAAAGAGACTCCTGATGAAGGTATAACTCTGGATGGTTACTCTGTGTTCAGACAGGATCACAGCACAGCTGAAAGTGGCAAGATCTGCGGAGGAAGAACGGCCATGTTTGTCAAACAGTCCTGGTGCACAGACTGTAAGATTATCTCCAAATTCTGTTCTGAAGATGTGGAATATTTAACACTAAAGCTAAGGCCATTTTATTTACCTAGAGAGCTGCAATGTATCATTGTGAGTGTAGTGTACTGTGAAGTTCACTGTGGGAAATACTATTACTCTATTTTTGTGTATTGCGGTTTTAATGCTTTGTTGCCTTTATGTAACTTTATTTCAAGACTACCGTAAGTGTTCTTTCTGGCTTTTGACTCCTTACCTGATTCCAAAGGAGAACTGTACAAGAATTCCTATATGCCTAGACTGTCTGTTTATGCATAAATGGCAAATAAAAATCTTGAACTTACTATGTCTGCATTATATCAGTGAAAATATGGGGTGTCTCTAACCGCTTTGTTTAGAGTGTTACAAATCTCTTTTCATACATACATATACCACTGTTTACCCATCTGTGGAGGAGAAATTTAAATTAATTAATGCCATTGCAGTTCATCATGCTGTCCAATTTAGAGAAAACACTATCAACAGGAGTTGTGTGTGTTCATGAACTATCATCTCGTTTTTAGGAAGAGGCTCTCTGGTTTTATCGTTCTGAAAAAATTACAGAGTATTTGGAGTTATGATGGGTGCAAAGCTAATCTAGAGGTACTGAAGATTAAAGATTAAATGGCTGGAAATGAGCACGACATGGGCTCTTTAGTAAGGTCTGCACAATGGTTTTCTAGCAGCCGATGAATAAAAACAGAGAATCAAGGGATGGAGGAATTTCTGTTTACCATGACTGTAACACACACTTGATTGTGGTACAATATAAAAACTGTATACAATCTAAATGAAATGGCAAGTCAGCAGACTTCTTTGCTGCTCTGATAAATCTGTGTCATATATCAATGCACAGAGAAAATTACTGAAGATGCAAACATCATTTATTAGACAATAATATTGATATATGATTTGGAGGCGGGATACAAGATCACCTTATTAATGTATCTGGTCTTAGACTACGTTCACACTGCAGGTCTTAATGCTCAGATCGGATTTTTTTTTGCTGAAATCCGATTTTTTTTTTTGCGCTGTTGTTTACACTGTCATTTAAATGCGACTGCCATCTGTCTGATGTGTGAACGGTATACGGTCCTGAAGTGACCCGCATGCGCAGAAGAGGACATGACGTCAGACGCAGCGTACTATGTTTGCGGAAATAAAAATGGATGCGGCTCGTGATAGCATGTGCGTTGCGATGTACCAGTTAATGTGCAATCGAAATAAAGAAATAATAATAAGAAGAGCATCAAGAAGGAGGAGAGCACAAATATTGCTTATGGCCTCGCCTCCTCCAGTGCAGAATTGTGACATCTGTCGCATTTCAATGACATAAAAATCGCATGAAATGCGACATGGCCGTTCAGACTGAAGTCGCATTGCAAAACATCGGATATGTATCCGATTTAGGACCACATATGAAAGTGGCCTGGGCCGGATTTGAAAAAATCGGATTTGTGCTTTTCACACTGTCATAAGGAAATCGGATATAGGTCACATTTGGGCAAAAAGATCGGATTTGAGTCACTTCAGCCTGCAGTGTGAACGTAGTCTTAGTCTCTGCAGAGAAGTCAGTCAGTCTCGCCAAGTGT